TCAGCCGCATTTTTCACTGCCGACTATCACAATAAAGCGTCGACGTATGTATGCTTATCCTGCGGAACTCTTCTTCTCGCAGAGAGGCGGACAAGGAGCGCGTTCATGATGTGTCATGAGCACAGCGTGATGTGCGGCGAGACTGCCGTGACTGTCTAGCTGCGGCGCGTTTTTCAAGGTCACTTCTAGTCACTTCGGCGATGTCCTCACCATTAGCCTTGCAGAACAGGCTACGCCGAAAACCTTGGCAATGTCAGTAGCCACGTACCTGATCCACCCAGCCGTGGTGCTCTTGCCTAGGATTATCCCCTCCTAGATAAGCTTTCCACCTCTCCGTCAGGCCTCTCGCCAGTTGGATACTGACGCCCAGTGATTAAGGCTTCGGGAGGAGGCGTGTTTTGTGTATAAGTTCTGCGCGCCAGCGGCGCATAAAAAAAAAATTTCCTAAACCAAATAACACTGAATCGCTAGTACATACCTTACATGGGCCGAAAAATAACAAGGGGCACCCTGCTACCCCCCTTGATACACAAAATGCGAGATGAGAGGGGAGCGGCGTCAGTCGTTCTTTCCCCCCTATCTCATGCCCGGCTGCTGCTGTTGGTGTGCATCACAATCACTGAAGGACGACCGAGCAGGATAGCCCTTTGGACCGAGATAGCGGGAAGGACGGGTTCGACTGAACACAGTAGTTTTCGTTTGTGGCTGCGCCGAACTTAGCGCCAGCTGTGTCGTTGGAGAACGGGGAGGCTTGGTTCGCTGATACCAGCGGGGTTGAGGCGGCCTGAGTGCGACATACCCAAATAGGTGAGAGTGCCGCGCTGCTCCGGAGTCTTGTGAGGCGACCCTGAGCTCGCGTTGTGCGTGGGGCACTGTGTCTCTCTGCAATTCACCGCTGCGAGGGCGTGCCGCTTGTTGGGGGTTGGGATGGATCGGGCGGGAACGCTGCAGGGCGGCATGGAAGGCAGAGCGCCGAAGCAGCAGCAGCAGCGGTGTTTCGTGGTACCTGAAGAGCACATCCATACAGCAGTTGGACCACTGCTGTGCCCTCTTGCGCTGCCGCAGACTACTGCTGTACATGCCCAACGTCCAAAGTTGCGGTGGTAGGCAAGGCGGGCATGGCTGGGCGCAAGCAACGGCTTCCTAGTAGTCCCTACCGTGTACAAACACGTCGGGTTGATGTCGATGGGAAACTGCAATGACCCGTAAAAAAATGCTGGCTCACCACACAGCAAGCGAAGATCATGTCACGTGGTTCTCAACGTCCCGCATCAAGCACCCGCTGTTTCTATACCAAGAGCGTCCTAGCGCAGATACTAGATATCACGCCTTTACGTCGCTCGTGCCATTACTCAGGAATGGAAAGGCTTCAGCGGAGAGTTAGAGAACAACCCACTAGCCTGTGTCTACTAGATGCCTGTGCACACGTTGTAGCGCACAGGGTGCAGGGTCGGAGAGATTAGCATCGCCTCTGCACCTTACGGCAGCAGACACGAATATGTGAGTAAAGCGCACCGAGGAATGACACCATGGGGTGTGCAGATAGAACAGAAGGCGCGATTTTATTGATTTGCGCACCGGTATCGGTGTTACCAGTAGTTATTTACCGCGATGATGGCGTGCTACAGTAGCAGCACATACGCATACCGCACCAGGTGGCTTTGGGCGCTGCTGGAACGGATAATAGTTAGCTAATAATAGTTGTTTTCCACAGACCGACTAACTACGATATGTGTGTGCTGTTGCATATACTCGGCATCGCACCGGAGGTACGTCCGACAGGCCAGCAATAGAGCCAGCAGGAAATCATTAATGTATTTCTGTACGGAGGATTTGGACCCATCGGGGCTTAGGCACCGGGGGGCGCGAAAGGTACACAGGGTGCGGTCACTCCGTGTTGTGGCCAGCCTACAGCAGCAAATCGTCGAATACCGATCGACCTGTGTACCTCGATTCCCACCGTTTTTTCCCGCGTTAGTGGGGTGACCCGCCGTTGGTGCGTTCTATCTCAGCGATACCATCCGAGGGCATGCATGATGCATATACCCGCCCCGTACCCCCCCCCCCCCCCC